CCCCCCCCCCCCATCAAAATTCACTGGCAAAGTTTTGCAGGCTCTGTGTTAGCAGCTCTAGACTTGGAATCAGTTTTTCAGGTGGAGGAACTGAGCATCAGAGAGGTCTGCTTCTTACTAGTGTGACCTTGAATAAGTCACTTCAACTCTCAGAGTCTCAAGTTTGTTGTAAGGAATAAATGAGAGAATACGTTAAAAGGCTTTGAAGGTGTTAAACAATTGCTACCATTTCTCAAGCGCTATGCTACAACGGTGTTTACGTCTGTCGTCGAATCTTCACAATAACCTCAGAATTTCAGGTTATCATTTTTATTTTGCCTGTGAGCAAATTTAGACTCTGAGGGGTAAAGTGACTTCCCCAAGGTCACAGAGCAAGTGAGCAGTGGACCTGGGGTGCTCGGAGAGGCTGACTGCAAAGTCCGTGCTTTTAACCTTTAAGCCACACTGCTCCTTCCCTTAGTCATGTTAGAATCGTCGCTAATACCTGAGTTATACATTTTGCTGCCTGTGGGAATATAAATATATTTTAAATAATTAAAGGGCTCTAAAGTTACCCCTAGAAAGATGAGAGGCCCTGGGATGAATTATTTTTTCAAGATTTGGGACAGGCTTTCTCAGGAGTATGACACCCTTTTTATTCCCATGGAAAGGAACCAGAGGTGGTGTTACACATTTCATCGATAGGTTAGCGCACCAAAGAATCAACGTGGGAAACAGAGGGCCCTGCTGATTTTATGGTCAAATTTCTCTAGAGGAAACTCAACAAAGAAGAATGTCAGATGCAGAAGAAAGCCCACGAGAAGAAACAGAAAACGATGGAGAAGCAGAAATGGAAGAAGAAGAAAATCCAAATTATTCTGAAGAGGTAGAAAATATGCAACAGGAATCAAAAGACGATGACACAGTGGCAGGGAGAGACTCTCAGGGGGAGTCAGAGGAGGCGGGGAAGACAGAGGAGGAGGAGGAGGAGGAGGCTGTCAGAGAAGGAACAGAGGAAAAGGCTGGAGCAGCACAGGAGGAGGTGTCTGCAGGAGGGCAAGAAGAAACCACAGTGAAACTCCAAGAAATCGCCAAACCCGTGATCAGTTTGGAGAAGCTTTTACCGACTGAGTCCCAGTCAGCCATGTCAGAAACTTTCCCAGTAAGTAGTAATTGTCATTCATTCATTCATAATCATTCATTGAATGCTTACGATATGCCAGGCTATGGGGATACAAAACCAAATAAGACACAGTTCATTCTCTTAAGGAGCTCTAGGGTGTGCGGGGAGGCAGACCCATAACCTAACATTATAAAACAGTCTGCTAAGTGCAGAGACGGAGAGATACATAGGAGATATTTTTAGGAACGGACAACTTAACCCAGCTTGGAGGAGGATGGTCAGGGAGAGCTTCCCAGAGGAGCTGGTTTACAGGGCCAGTAGGGATTAGCTGGAGCGTGCTTGCCTTACAACAGTCAATGAGATAATAGTAATGTAAGCTTTCCAGAAACTCCCCCTGGCCCAAGAAGTGACACTCTGTGACTGGTCAGTCGTTTGGAGACCACCAGTGCCACTTGGAAGAATGATTTTGCTCTTGTGAGTCTGCTGGTAGTAAGCCAGGAATGAACCTGACTTGCCCATGATTCATGTAATTTAAGTACAAAATGTCCCAGGCCCCGCTTTTTTTTTTTAAATTGGGGAACTGTGTGTTTTTTTCCCAGGACCCATCAGCTCCAAGTCAAGTGGTTGTCTTCAATCTAGTTGTGGAGGGCACAGCTCAGTGGCCCATGCGGGGATCGAACCCGCAGCCTTGGAGTTATGAGCACTGCACCCTAACCACCTGAGCTAACTGGCTGCCCTCCCCCCACCCCAGGCTCCTTTTTCAAACACTTCATAATTCCAGTATGAGGCTAACACTAGAGACTGGCTGATTAGGAAAAGAAGGGAGAGAATGGAGCAGCATGTACTGTATTTGGAATCACAATCTCCTTTTATTTCTTTTTTTTTTTTTTTTAAGAAAACCCATGGTGGTGGCGAATCAAAGCATTCATTACCTTCAGAGCAGCCCATAAGCCCCAGCTCACAATTAGAGTTTCTTGACTTGGCTCTACCCAGTTCTGAGGAACAGCAGATGAGTTCCCCCGAATGGCAGTCCTCAGATGAGCTTGGGGAGAATGCCGACCAGTTGCCCCAAGATGAACTGGGACAAGAAAGCAGAGACTTGGCACCAGAAAAGGGGGAAAGGAGGCAAGGAAAAAGAGTATCCTACTTAATCGAGGAAAAAGAAGTCCAGCCCGCAGCTGGCATCTCAAAGGACTCACTGGTGTCTACCACCGCTGAGGACATTTTGTTTCAAAAGGATGACAGTGACAGCGTGTACCCCTTGGTAAGTGTAACATGCTTTTGTATTTCCCCCAGAGCTTTGAGAGTATTTTATGCATATGGAAAAAAGAACACCACCAGAAAGATCCTTTTTCAACTAATAATAGACTTGTGTCTTTTAAAGTTCAGTTCAGAGCTCTGCCTGGCCGCGGGTGACAATACAGGCCTGAGCGCTGCATCTGGCTTCAATGTGTGGCTCAGCGGGCAGGAAATTCCGGATGCAGTCTGTCTGTTGCACAGAGTTCTGGTTTTTTGTGGGAGACTCAAAATCCATCTCTCCCTCCCTCTCCCCTCTCCCCCTCTCCTTCTGTTTCTATCTCTCTCTCTTTATAATTCTCCTCCTGTTCCTTCTCTTTCCCTCCTCACCTCTTCTGCCTTAACTGGCTTGGTACCTTTACAAGCTCCCCAAGCCGTTACGCGCTCCGAAAACTATCCATTCCCAGATGGATCAGAGAGTGAAAGGTACGGAAAAGTGAAGCCACTGAGAAAAGCACCAGGCAGGCGAAAGGAACCTGCCTTTGCCGCCACTGACGATATTCCAGGAGGCACCATCTGTGAGGAGTAAAAATATTATCATTTACCAAGGGAAGGAAGAGGAGGGTATTTTTTCCCCTTCTTCCTCCATCCGCAAGTTTCTGACGACTGTTTCCTAGGATTCATCTCCTTTCTTGTCTCCTTTTCCTCTGTAGATTCATGCCTTTGGAAGGTCTGTACGTGACTGAATGTATATAAACAACGTGATGTAGTTCCTAACACATGCTGAGCACTGGACGAGTGTTCACTAGAATAGATAGATGGGGGTGATGATGATGGGAAAATGCCTACTGGGAAGTGCAGAAAGCAGGTAGATTTGGCTCCTCTGAGCAGTGGAGTTCCAGGTGAAAGCTTGCAGTTGCTCAGTCCGAAAGAAAGAGTGGTTGAGTTTTAGAGCCTGCCAAGACTTTTTTTTTTTTTTAATTTATTGGGGAACAGCCATGGTCATTGATTACACATTGCTTTCATGCTACAATGGCATCGTTGCCTCTTCTAAGGAGGGCGCAGCTCACAGTGGCCCATTCAGGCATTGAACTGGCAACCTTGGTGTTATCAGCACCACAGTCTAACCAGCTGAGCTAACCGGTCACCCCCAAGACTTGTTGAGTAGCCAGCTAACAACAAATCTGGGACTGTCACTAATGAGAGCAAGTGATCTTTGTGTGAGGGTCCCAGCTCTCTGGACTTGACACAAGCCACTGCCCAGGTTTGGGTCCCCTGTGAGCCCTGGGCTCACTGCAGAACCCAGACTTCCCTAGACTGTCTCCTTTTGCACATTTGTTTAGCTCTTTGGATACACCTTCTTTCTTTTTCCCTTTCCTTTTACCTTTATTGTTTTTCTTTTAAAAATTAATGTGTTATTTATGAAAAATCAAAGGCAAAATTTGTCCCCTTGCACCCCCTACCTCAGTCCGTCCCATTTGCCGGAGGTGACTACTATTACAGTTTGGGATAGCTGTCTCTACCCAGATCTTTTTCTGTGCATATACAAATGTGTTATCTGTGTGCTCATGTGTGCACACCCCCCCCCACATGTTTAGTTTAGTTTTGTTCTGTTTTTTTTTTTTTTACCAGTGAGATGTTACGCATTTCTGCAAAATATTTTCCCAATTAATATGTCATGGAAGATCTTTTTATGTTAGTGCATAGAGATCCACTTCCTTATTTTAAATTCGACAGTTTCCCCTATTCATGGCCATTTATGTTGCTTTTAATTTCTTGCTCTCACCAAAGGTGCTTCAGTGAGTGTGGTGCTCCATCTCCCTTTGTGTCCACAGCATCCTGCTTTTCCTCTGGGGTCCCCTGCCTTACCCCAACATCTGTAATAACTCACAGTGCTCATGGTAGATAGGCAGAAGCATTGGTATCATCTTCAGCCAAGAAATAAGGTATCACACGAGGTCTAAGTTCATGAACTTGTTGCAACAATGTTGCTAACCTTTTTTGATATCAGAGGGATTATGCATTATGAATTTGTACCAACTGAACAAACACTTAACCAAGTTTACTATTTGGAAGTGCTGAAAAGGCTGCGTGAAAAAGTTAGACGACCTGAACTTTTCGCCAACAATTCATGGCTCTTGCATCATGACAACGCACCAGCTCACACGACGCTGTATGTGAGGGAGTTTTTAGCCAGTAAACAAATCACTGTATTGGAACACCCTCCCTACTCAGCTGATCTGGCCCCCAGTGACTTTTTTACTCAAAGATAAAGGAAATATTGAAAGGAAGGCACTTTGATGACATTCAGGACATCAAGGATAATACGACAACAGCTCTGATGGCCATTCCAAAAAAAGAGTTTCAAAATTGCTTTGAAGGGTGGACTAGGCGCTGGGGTCAGTGCATAGCTTCCCACGGGGAGTTCTTCGAAGGTGACCGTAGTGATATTCAGCCACGAGGTATGGGGCACTTTTTCTAGGATGAGTTCGCGAACTTAATTGTTCAACCTCGTACATTTATGAGAAGACATCGTATGACTATCAAACATAGTGAAACCTGGTTTTGACAATGAAGTTCTGTTTTCCTGACACCACGTTTTAGAAAAAGATTTATATAAGAGGTGGCTAGCATTAAAACAGGTGCAAAATGCAGCGATTGATACTGTGCGATTCCAGTTAATGTGAGTGCTGCTTGAGGAAGGAAGCTCTGTTACTACTGAGTGAAGTCAGCCCAGTTTTGACCTTGGAAGAGTTGTTTTACCTGGAGACAGGCAGGAGTCTAGTTAGGAATGTTTTCTTTTTATAAGTAACTTGTTAAATGGCAAAATAAATTTCCAGGATGGATAAAATGCTTTTAGGATTAGCGAGTTTCCAAAAGAACAATCTCATTTGAAGAAATTGACTTTTAGGAACCAGCCATATATTAAATAGTTCTGTTCCTAGAAGTTGCAGCTTGAGACAATTATGATTCCATAATTCTACCACTCATCACCCACACAGTAGAAGACCTACACGTAAATATAAATCATATTTCTATCTATCTGAGCAGATGGAAACAGGAGAGAATGGGAAATGAAGGATGTAGGAGAAACTGGCCACATTGCCCACTGCCTCTGTCTTGGGAGAAATACATGGTACATCCCTTTAACCTTGTAAGTATTGTTCAGAGGAAACTCACCAGGATTTCGTTTCTACACACCCAATTTAACTTACTGGTTTTTAGTAACTGATCCCTTAGCCGTCACTTTAAACACTACCACATTTGATTAATTGGCCTCACTTAATTTTTTAAAGAGACTTTACTTTTTTGAGCAGTTTTAGGCTTATATTATAGAAACGTTGAATGAAAGTACTGAGGATTCCCATATGCTTCCTTGGGCATCCTCCACCCCGACTTTCCCCTTTTATTAATATCTTGCATTAGTGTGATACATTTGTTACAGTTGATGAGCCGATATTGACACATTATTATTGACTGAAGTCCACAGTCTTAGGCGGGGGAGGAGGGGGTCCTTCTTTGTGCTGTACATTCTCTGGCCTCTGACAAATGTATAATGACATGTATCCAGCATGGCAGTATCATACAGAATAGTTTCACTGCCTAAAAATCCCCTGTGCCCTCACCTCCTCATCTCTCCCTTCCCCCACCCTCCCCAGCCCCTGGCAACCACTGATCTTTCTATTGTCTCCATAGCTTTGCCTTTTCCAGAACGTTATGTAGTTGGAATCCTACAGTATGTAGCCATTTCAGGCTGGCTTCTTTCACTTAGCCGTATGCATTCATTTCTCCGTGTCTTTTCATGGCCTGCTAGCTCCTTTCTTTGTATTGCTGAATATTATAATGTTCTATTATAGGAATGTATCACTGTTTGTTTATCTGTAATTTTTGTAAAAGACCTGGAACACAAAAATGTACATAAATTAAGCGCTGTTGATTAAAAGCAGTAGTCAGATTTATAGTACCTATAATTTTTCATTTCATAAACCTTTTATTTTGGATGTAGCCCTAGCTCTATGGAATTTTTAATCCTGCTAAGGGAATTTTGTCTCATTATACTTTATTCTTCTAGGGAAGGTGCTATAGAAGGACCCAATACCCAGGCTGAAGAATTGCCATTCTTATGAAGTTACTTAGTGGCTTTATAATAACTTGTCCCTTCTACATACTTCCATGGAGGAGGTGGAATTTCCCAACATCAAGTGTTCATATGTGTCTGGCACTGAGCTGGGTGTAGGTCCCGGGAAGTGGAAGAATAGTAGGTTATTTATATTTATTGAAAATTTTGTTTTCTTTTGTAATGGAGATGTACGTCACATACCAGAAAATTCACCCTCTTCAGTTTTTTTAAAGTTGTGCTAAAATATACATAAAATTTACCATCTTAACTATTTTTAAGTGTAGTTCGGTAGTGTTAAGTCCATTCACATCGTTGTGCAACAAATCCTCAGAACTCATCTTGCAAAACTGAAACTCTGGGGGTGACTGGTTAGCACAGTGGGTTACAGAGTGGTGCCGATGACACCAAGGTTGCCGGTTCGATCCCCTCATGGGCCACCTTGAGCTGCGCCCTCCCTAAAAGAGTCGACTATGCCATTATAGCATGAAAGCAATGTGGTTAACCAATAACCATGGCTGTTCCCCAATAAAAAAAAAAATTAAAAACGAAACAAAACTGAAACTCTTGTAACCATGAAACAACTCCCCATTCCACTGCCCCAGCTCCTAGCAGCCACCTGCTTTTGGTTTCTAGGGATAGGACCACTCTAGGTACCTCATGTGAGTGGAATCATACAGTATTTGTCCTTTTGTGACTGGTGTATTTCACTTACATAACATCCTCAGTGTTCATTCATGTTGTAACCTGTATCAGAATGTTCTTTTGAAGGCTGAATAACATTCACCTTTTGTTTATCCACTCATCTGTTGATGGACACTTGGGTTGCTTCTACCTTTTGGCCACTGTGAAATACGCTCCTATGAACATGGGTATGCAAATATCTCTTTGAGACCCTGCTTTCAATTCTTTTGGGTGTATAGCCAGAGGCGCCATTGCTGGATCATATGGTAGTTCTAGTTTCAGTTTTTTTGAGGACCTTCGTACGGTTTTCCATAATAGCTGCACCATTTCACATCCCCACCATGAATGCACAAGGGTTCCGATTTCTCCACATCCTCATAAAATTTACCTTTTTAACGTGTACAATTCATGGGTTTTTAGCATAGTCACAAGGTTTTGCGACCATTGCTACCATCCTATTGGGATGTATTTTTTTCTATGTTTTTCGTTGCAAAAATGCGTCATGACTTTTCCGACAACCCAGTAATTCCAGAACATTGTCATCATGCCCTAAAGACACCTAATACTCATTAGCAGTCACTCCCATCTCTGTGTCCCCCAGCCTCTGGCACCCACTAATGTACTTCCTGTCTCGATGGGTTTGTCTTTTCTGGGCATTTCATACAGATGGGATCATACAACACGTGGTCCTTTGTGTCTGGCTCTCTTCACTTAGCAGCCTGTTTTCAAGGGTCGTCTATGGTGCTGAGTGATTTCTCTTAAATCTTAAAGTGATTTCTCTTCACTGGACTGGCGACACGAAATCGTCCTCCAAGGACTGGTGCCAGGAGCGCCTGGTGTCACAGCCCTGGGCCAGGTAAGCACTGTAGCGTCTCGCTGGCTGTCCCTTTGTCTTCCAGACCATGACTTGGTCATTTGGATGGAACAGTTCTCTTCCTGTTTTCTACGTTCGAGACGCAACCCAGAGAGTTCTTCTGTACGCCAGTGCCCATACTGCGGTCATCTACAACGTTTCCAAGAATAATCAGCGCCACCTTCAGGTACGCGGGCTTTTCTTACTACGAGTAAAAGAGGTCATTGTCTTTAGCTCAAATACAGCATTTTGTTTTTTACTCCCAGGGCTGACTCTAATGCTTTCCTACCTCTCTTCTGAGCTCTAGCAAATCCTGTCTTCAGAAACATGTTTTATTGGGCCATGTCTCACTGATTCTAATCCAGCATAGTAGCATCACACAGAATAGTTTTGCTGCCTAAAAATCCCACCTGTTCATCCCTCCCTTCCTCCCACCCACCCGCAGCAGTTGATTGTAATTTTATAGTAACAGGAATTTGAAACATCTGCATTTTTCTTACATTTCTTAGGTTAGATTGGGTGGGTGGGGCATAAAAAGGTGCTGTGTGTGCTGGGACCTGACGAGAGAGAATGAGCCAACCAGAGATCGTGTGGGGGACAAGTGTTTGAGCGTTGCAGACCAAGAGTGCCGGTTTTCAGGCTTTGTGTGTGAGGCCCAGAAAGGAGGCCGGTGGGGCTGCTGCAGAGTGAGCGTGGGCAGACCAGGCAGGAGGAAACAGGGCCTACGTCCCGGCAGGGAGTGCTACCATCTTGTGTGTGTTTCCAGAAGATTCCTCTGTTCTGTAGGGAAAGGATCAGAGTGAAAGCAGCGAGATCAGTGAAGAGGCTTTCTCTCCAGAGCTGCTCAGGGACCTGACATGAACGCTGTTTTAGGGAGATGAGGCTGGCAGGGAGGTTCAAAAGCGCTGGGGGCGCGGGAGAACCCAGACTTTTATTCTCCACCTGGGTTCAGAGTCACGTACAGGCATAGACGCCCAGGAAGCCACTGTTCTTGTGGGGAGGGTAACTTTTTCTTCAGGCGTTTTGAGGGAAAGTTTGAAAACCACTGGCTCTGGAGAAACCGCTGGTGGGAGTAGAATTTTCAGCCAGACGAGCCTGCAAAGGAACTCAGTTCTCTCTTTGGGGCCCCAGCCTCTCCTTCTGGTGCCAGGGTGGGGCCACATCCTCGATGTTTCAAAGCATTTTCTCTCCATTGCTGTAGGGCCATCCTAACGTCATCTCCTGTTTCTGCATCAGCGAAGACAGGCGGTGGATCGCCACGGCTGACAAAGGGCCCAACTGCCTGATAATTATATGGGACTCCTTCACAAGGTAGGCTCGGTGCAGTCACTTGCCAGCCCCTGTGTGTTGTAGAATATCTGCCGCTGTGACCAGCAAAACATTTTGAGTGTGATCTTTTTTCAAAATCAAACATCCGATTATGTTGCTCCCCTGCTGACCACCTGTCAGGGGCTGCCCGTTGCCCCTGTGTTTCAGGGACCATGCACCTTGCATCATAGCGGTTTGAACATTGTTCCCAGAAAGCGCAATTCCCTGTCTGCACGCCTAGCCACCTGTAGCTGGAACATGCTTTCAGCTGCAAATAATGGAATGTCCAGCTGACGCACCAGTGGAAGTTATCATCTCTTGCAACAGGAAGTCGGAAGGCAAGGAGGGTGGGTCCCTCAGCTGTGCCTCTTCTCCGAAGCTCCCCTTCCCAAGACCTAGCCATTCCTCTTATAGACAGTGTTTAACCTTTGCTTTTTTCTGGTTTATAAAGCTGCCTTCCCAACTAGACTGGGAGCAGCTTGAGGGCAGCAATTTTTTTTTTAATTGCAAAGTAAAGCATATCTGTGGTTATTGATTCAAAGAATATGTTGACGTGAGTTTTGTGATATTGCAAATGATGAACTTGGGGACCCAGAAAAGATTATTTGGTTTTAGGGTTAATAGTCACTTTATTAAAGTGACAAATAAAAACCATAGTTCTTCCTTCAGCTTTTCGTTCAACTTATAAAACTTACTCTATTTATAAATCTAGCCTATTTTTGCCATCTCCTTTAAGGGGGCTTTGATCAATGTTTGGCTCCAGTTACAAATTTGGTTATTAATCCGTCTTAAACATTTTAAACTGCATTTAGAAATTGAATATACTTGGTTTCATCTTTAAGGTTTTTAGTAGTCTGATTAAAAAATAAATCCTTCACCAGTACTTAAGTAATTCTTGTAAATCTAATAAATTAGAAGTATGGCAAATCTTATGTTCTTGTAAGCATTCTAATATTGTTTATAAACCTAATACAATTTGAATTTAAAATCACAAGTCTAAATCAACTGCGTACTTTAAATTAGAATCACAAATCTAATCTGTTAGAGGCTCTGCTATGTAAAATTCTCATAAACATCACCCATTCCTATAAAAAATGTACAAATTCTTAGATCACAAATATGTTGCAAGTGTGGGGCTGACTGATTTCGTCTCCTCTATATTTAATTCTAAATACCCCCAGGGATAAGGACAGCATTATGTCATTCCTAACAAGTGTAGGACTGTCTTCCCAAGTGAATATTTGGGGCGGCCACTTAGCGATGAAGTTTCTCAAGTGACAGAGACCCAGACAGGCCCTCAGCTGGGACACAGACCCGGTTCCAGCCAAGTGGGACACCGCTGTGGCATACTGCAGCCTGGTCATATTCGCTGTAACAAAGGCTCCATAATGAAGAAGAAATGGGGTGCTGATAACCCCATTAAGTCTTTCTGCCATCCCCTCTTCATTTCTAATGGAAGTCTGGAAACTCTCCCAGTGTTACAGCTTACTTCCATCATTGTACCTATTGTTTCTTGCATTTCTTTGGCTCTCTTAGATGTTTAAATATCACTTAATTAAATTCTGCATGTGTCAAGGCTCTGTCTGCATCTTACACTTTTAAGGTCTTGCTAGTGACACAGTACAGAGGTTTATAAGTAAAAAAAAAAGAAAGTCCCTCACTCAAACCCCTTCTCCAGAGTCACCGTTGTTTAGTTTGGAGTCCATTCCTCCAGGCTGCCTTCTATTCCTACACACACACACACACACACACACACACACACACACACACACACACACGCACACACGCACGCACGTACACGCATGCACGTGAAAATGTGCTGTGTATACAGCTTTGCAGTTTGCTTTTTTCACAAAATTTTGGTCACTTTTCCCAATCTACCTTATTTTTTTTGAAGGTGGTATAGTTTTAGGTTGGGTTCCATGGTGTAATGGTTAGCACTCTGGACTCTGAAGGTGGTATAGTTTTTCATTATGTGGTTACGTCATAATATTAAAAAAACATGTTTTTTTTTTTTTTAATTGGGGAGCAGTGTGTTTTTCCAGGACCCATCAGCTCCAAGTCAAGTAGTTGTTTCAATCAAGTTGTGGAGGGCGCAGCTCAGTGGCCCATGTGGGGATCGAACCGGCAGCCTTAGTGTTATGAGCACTGCGCTCTAACCAGCTGAGCTAACCGGCCGCCTCACATCATAATATTTTTAACAATTTCCATATTGATGGCTATTTGTGGTGTTTCCAGATTTTTGCTGTTAAAGCAGTGCCGCGATGAACATAAATTACATTTATCTCTGTGTACTTTTGTTATTACTTATGTAGGAAAAGTTGTAGAAGTGCAATTGTTAGGTCATAGGCTATGTGCCTGTAAAATTTTGATAGATGCACAGACTCAATTGCTGCCTAGAGAGCTTGTGCTTCTTTACAGCCTCACGTAAAACGCCGTTTTCCTGAGAGCTAGGATGCTGACCTAGGCGTCTCTTGTCATATTTTCATCCTTCATGTTTGGCACAGAATTGGCACTCAGTAATGAGAGACTAGAGCTCATGAAGAGAGCAAATGGCATATTTGCACGCTGCCCCGAGTTCGTTTTCTTTATTGACGTAAAATTCACATAACAAAATTAACCATTTTAAAATGAACAATTCGGTGGCATTTAGCACAGGCACAAGGTTGTGCAGACACCACGTCTCTCTAGTTCCAAAACATTGTCATCACCCCCAAAGGAAACCAAATACCTCTCAGCAGTCAATCCTCTCCCTCCCCCGGCCCCTGGAAAACAGCCCTCTGCTTTCTATCTCCACAGATTTGCCTGTTCTGGATATTTGATATCAGTTGCATCTTACAACATGTGGCCTTTTTTGCACACAGTGCAGAGTTTGCAAGGCTCATCCACGTTGCAGCCCCCGTCTGTACTTCGTTCCTTTTTATGGCTCAGTAACATTCCATTGTATGAACAGACCACATTGTGTTGATCCACAGTTGTGATGTTTTTGAAGCGGGTCCCCCTGGGAAGAAAGGCAGGTCTCAGCAAATGCTTTTCCCCACCCCCCGTTTCGTTTTGCAGTATTCCTGTACACACGCTATTTGACAGCTGTCCGGAAGGGAACGGCATCAGGGCCATGGCCATCTCGCAGGATGCCAAGTATCTGGCAACCATCTCCGACGCTGAAATCCAGGTACAGGGCCCTTTGGGGCGGCCTCAGCGGGCTGGCCAACCTGCCATGAGTGTCCCTGGGAGCAGCTCTGCTCAGGCCACGTGGCACCTGTAGTGATGCTCTCAGAGGATGTCTGGACGGCAGGGCATGTTGTCAGGCGCTCCCTGCTTGTGGCTTAGCTCACGCTGCTGTGCTTCGTTAGCGGAAGTTACAGGGTTCCCACAAGTAACCTCTCATGCCCCCGTCTGCTCTCCCCCACAGAAAGTGTGCATCTGGAGGTGGACCTTGGCAGTGGAAACACCGGCGTGTACTCTGGACCTTCCCAAAGAGTATGGTTTTCAGGTGAGTTCTGCTTAAGCCTGTAACGGTCAAAAGCCAGGCCAAATCTACTTTTTGTTTCAGGGGAGTTTTGTTATGGTGCAGTAGAGCTTTTCTAAAAGCACTTTCATATCTGTGGTGTCATTTTTATTTTTGATGACCGTCACTGATTTTTTCAGTGCTTAACTGTGTGCCAGATTCTGCTAAGTTCTTTACATACAGTATCTCACACTAATTCAGTAATAATTCACATATTACTGTTTAGTCATAGCTGTGGAACACTACGATCCATTATTAAATAGTTTGTATAGAGTCACCTGGCTGGCAGTCTTTCTTATTCTAGAAGCGTGCTCCTAACTGCTCTTAACATAGGGAAGTTATTATTCTGAGTTTGCATGTGGTGACTTGCCAAAGACACCCAGAAAGTTGAATCTGCTGTTCTACATTGTCTCATTCACCCTCGCATCCTTCATGCATCATAGAGTAATTGAGGACCTATTATGTGCCAGACACTGGTGAGTACGTATGTGGCTTTTGGGAACTAGAACCCAAACAGAGAGGGTCTGGGTCACTCCTAAGGTACATATTAAGTGCCAATTAAGTGCACAAACTCATCCTAGAAAAAGTGCTACATACCTCATTGCTGAATATCACTACGGTCACCTTCGAAGTACTCCAATTTGGAAGCTACACACCGACGCCAGCACCTAGTCCACCCTTCAAAGCAATTTTGGAACTCTTTTTCTGGAATGGTCATCAGAGCTGTTGTCCTATTACCCTTGATGTCCTGAATGTCATCAAAATGTCTTCCTTTCAATATTTCCGGTATCTTTGGGTAACGAAAGAAATCATTGGGGGCCAGATCAGGTGAGGAGGGAGGGTGTTCCAATACAGTGATTTGTTGACTGGCTGAAAATTCCCTCACAGACAGTGCCATGTGAGCTGGTGCCTTGTCATGATGCAAGAGCTCTTTCGGGACCATTTTTGCACACACCTTTCTCATGCCAAGATTTCCAGTTAAGATTTTCCTAACTGTTTCTCTGTCGATGTTACTTCGTCTGCTATGCTTCTCACAGGTAGCTGACGATTTTGATGCACAGTTTGACAAATTTTTGCAATGTTACTGGCCACCCTGACTTCTCTTTTTTTTTTTTAAGCTGAGCCATCCTGACACCTGTTGGCAGCTCAGCGGCTGCTCAGCTCGGGCCGGGCATCGAACCACTGTTGCCCAGAGCTCAAACTCTTGAGTGAGCTTTTAACCAACTGAGCCACTTGGCCGGCCCCTGACTTCTCGTCATCAGTGACGCGTTCTCCCCCCTCAGAAAAATGCTTAATCCGTTTGTACACTGCTGTTTTCTTCATGTCATTATCCCCATAAACTTGGACTAACATGTCCCTGGTTCCACTTCCACTCTTGCCAAGTTTAACAGGAAATTGAGTGTTTGTTTGTTGCCCTATTTCAAGCTCAGACACTCTCGCAACGGCACACAAAAACACGCAACAACAATAATGAACGCCACTCGGCAAGACACTGCCACACGTCGACATGAACACAGCTGTGAGGCACTGATACACCAAAGTTATGAAACCCGACTGAGCTGTTTGTGCAGTGCTGCCAATGTAAGCGCACATGGCATGTTCACAAACTTAATTGTCAGGTCTCATAGCATCACACAGCTTTATGCCTATCTGCTCTCCTCCCCAGTATTCCTCTTGCTCCCTGAAAAAAATGTCCTCCTTAAAGCTGCTCTAATGCAATAGCCACCAGCCCTACGTGGCTATTTAGAATGGATTTTTCTATCACTATAAAAAAACATCTTTGGGGTTTTGATAGAGATTGCATTGAATCTATAGATCTCTTTGGGTAGTGCTGTCAGCTCAACAGTATTATCTTCCAGTCCACGAGTCAGGCAGTCTTTCCATTTATTTACATTGTCTTTAATGTCGTTCAGCAGTGTTTTGTAGTTTTCAGTGTACAAACCTTTCACCTTGGTTACGTTTATTCCTAAGTATCCTTTTTAAAAAAACTCTAAGTGGAATTGTTTTCTTGATTTCCTTCTCCGATTTTGTTCATCACTAGTGTACTGACATGCAACTGATGTTTGTGTGCTAATTTTGTGTCCTGCAACTTTGCTGCATACATGGGGCTATTTGAATGTAAGTTGACTGAAATTAATGACAACTACACATTTACTTCCCCAGTTGCACTAGTCACATTTCAAGTCCTGATTAACCACATGGGGCTTGCGGCTACCGTTTTTGACCACACAGACTAGGACATCTCCATCATCACGGAAAGTGGTGCTGGAAGACCCCCCCCACCCTGGGCGAACTGTGCCATCATCCTTCTCTGTACCTACCCCCGGCAGGCTGAAGGGGGCTGCAGAGAACTGCCGCCCCCTCCCCCGCAACCGAGCTGATTCATTTCGCTTGGAATTAAGTCATAAATTCCAAGAGTGCTCAGCACTGCCTGACATTCTAGTAGAGTCTCTTTTTCATTTCAAGAGCAACAGTTTCACATCTTCTCCTCACACCTCCCACTGCTCTTCCTCTCACGCTCAGCTGATGACCTTTGTCACATTTCATTGAGAAAATGGAAGCCATCAGATACAAACACTGGCCTAGTCTCGCTCCCACGCCTACAAGCTGCTTTCAGCCTCACCTGCTCTTCTGTTCTCCTCTCTAATTGCAATGCGATGCCAGCGCACTGGATCCCTCCCCTGTCACCTACCTGAGGTCCTCTCCTGAAGCTCCCAGCTTCTCCCTCTGCTGGATGGTTATCCCCATCAGCAAACCAACAGGCTTCCGCATCACTGATCTTTAGAGAGCGCCTTTGACCCCACATCCCCTTCCAGCTCTTGCCCTCTGCCCCTCTTCACAGTAAAACTTCTCAGCGGAGCTCCCTGCACCTGCTTTCTCTTCTTCCCCGTTTCTCATTTACTTTTTCTTTTTGCAAGAACTATTAGATCTTGTTATATTTTTATTATTACATAAGGCACACATGCAAAACTTGTACATTTAATTTTATTTATTTATTTTTCAGCTGAGCCATCCTGCCACCTGTTGGCAGCTCAGCGGCAGCTCAGCTCAGGCCGTGAATCAAACCGGGGACCCTGTTGCTCAGAGCTCGAACTCTTGAGCGAGCTCTTGACCAACTGAGCCACTCGGCTGGCCCAAAACTTGTATATTCTAAAGAAGAAAACAAAATCTACTTGTGTGCTTGACCTTGGATCAATAAACAGAATTTACCTAAACCCTAGGAGCCCGTTTCGTTCCCCTTCCCCAATCTCTTTCCCAACTTTGTTCCCGAAAGTTAACCACTGTCCCAAAGTTTGTGGTATACATCCCCTTGCATTTCTTTATATTTTTTTCTCCAGCACTACATGTAGTCCTCAATACTATCATATTTAATTTTACCTGTTGTTGACCTTTATATACTTGGAATCAGACTATTGCTTCATTTATTCAGCATTGTTTCTGAGAGTCATCCATGTTGATTTTGAGCTGTAATTCACTCACTTTCATTCTGAATTGTTTCATTGTTTGAGTGCTATACCTGAGAGATACTATTCCATTGTCTTCAGACTTACATCATTTCTGTTGAGAAGTCAACTATCAATCTTATTCCCCTTTTTGAAATTTATGTGTCTTTTTTTCCACCTCTGGCTACTTTTAAGGTTTTCTTTTGGTTTTCAGCAGTTTTTTGATGATGTATTTATGTGTATATATGGGTATGTTGTTGATTTTTTTTTTTAAACTCATCCTTTGGGTTTTTTTGAACTTGGGATGTCATGTCTTTCCTCAGTTTTGGAAAATCCTCAGCCATTGTCTCTTGAAATGTTACTTCTACCACATTCTTTTTTTTCTTCTTTTTTTGGGACTACAATTACATGCAAGTTAGACCTTTTCATCTTGTCCCATAGGTCTTTTATTCTCCTTTTTGCATTTTCTATTCCTTTGTGTCTTTATGCATCAGTCTAGATATTTTCTCCTATAATTTATCTTCCTTTTCTACTAACTAATCATTTTTTGGGCTATGTTTAATTTTCTGTGAAACCATTATTTTGGGTGTTTTAAATCTTTTTTTCAGATCTAGAATTTCCATTTGATTCTTTTTATTTTAATCTGATATTATCCATCTTGTCCTCTATTTCTTACACATATTAATGACAGTTATTGTCAAGTCTATGTGTAATAAATCCAATACCTGTATCTCCTGTGGGTCTCTTTCTGTTGATTGCTTTCCCCGCCCCTTGATTTTCAGCCATTTGGATCTGTCTCTTTCATATGCCTGGTTATTTTCCATTGAATGCCCAGTGTTGTGCTTTAAAAGGTATAGTAGAGGGGGTGAACGGTTAGCTCAGTTGGTTAGAGCGTGGTGCTGACAACACCAAGGTTACCGGTTTGATCCCCGCATGGGTCACTGAGCTGCACCCTCCCTAAAAGAGTCAACTATGCCATTGTAGCATGAAAGCAATGTGTAACCAAGGACCATGGCTGTTCCCCAATAAAAACAAATTTAAAAAAAGTATAGTAGGAATAATTTGAGGCTCAGGATGATAACTTCTTCAAAGGAAGACTGACTTTCGCTTCTTACAGGCACTTGGCAAAGTGGTCACCTTAATCTAGAGCCTGAACGGCTTCGAGGCTGATGTTTGGTCTTTGTGAGGTCTCCTCTGTGCATGCGCTTTCATCAGTTCTTCACCTCACCCAAGCCTTTGTGCTGTCCTGATATATTCTCAACATTGGCATTGGTGGTTTACATCCCTGAAGGAGACACCAAACAATAGGCGAGGATTGGGAGAGGGGATGGGAGTGGCAGGGATGGAACTTCAAAAACATTTCTCCACCCGACTTCTCAGTGCTGCCTCCTGCAGCCCTCCCTGTCAGGCTGTGGCCACCCACCTCCCATACACGTGCCATTTCAAGACCAGCTGTCTCCCCAGGGATTTCTCACTGTTTGTTGCTGTTATTGTTCAGTTTCTGCATTTCGTGTTTCTTTCACTTTTGTATTTCTGCAGGATTGATTTTTGAGGAAGGGAGCCAGGCAGTCCATGCTATTCACCACCTTGGCAGGAATCAGAATTTCCTTCCAATATTTTGCATTTATTCCCAGTTACCTTGTGGCCCTGTCAAATTTAGAAATGTGTACGCAGCAGTTTTTCTCCAAAAGGACACAGAATAAGATTATTAGTGAATACTGGCTTTTACTTTTGCTTGTTCCAATTTATAGATGATGAATTATAATAAGTGAGATTCAATAAGAAAGGGAACGCATTCGGACCATTAATTTTAACACCCAGCGTTTAAATTATATTCCTACTACTCCCAAAATGCTATGTGTTTTTTATTTTATATTCCTACTCAGTTATTTGTTTTAATAAAAAATTATTTAATTTAACATTCAGCTTAACTGGAGAACAACAGAAAACTTATTAAAGTGTAATATATTTTCATACTTTATATTTCAGAACTGCCTTACTTTTAATCCAACAAATAATAAAGAATTGGTGAGCAATAGTAAAACACAGGCAATATATTATTTGTGGGTAAGTAGAAATATTTTGATTTATTTTAAATGTACAGACAAGTATACGATCATTCTTTGAGTACAGGTGTTTTGGTAATGTAACAATATAGAATAGTGGGAAGCAATAAATATATATTAATATATACTTATTAATATATTAACATAAATATATGTTTGATTTAATTATAGTATTTATTTTAGTCCCATTGGAAATTAGCATATTAAATCAGAAGCAGATAATTTAAATTTCATTTACCTTTTTTAAGTAATGAGGCAAATTTTTTTGAATTTATTCAACAGTCTAAAATATAGGGTTTTTTGAGATGATGGACTTGATTCTTTTTTAGAAAGAAATTAGCAAACGGATCAGCAATACGTGTACTGACATAGGGCAAAATCATGAAATTTAAAAAACACTGAAAATTAAGCATAAGAAAACCATATGACCCAACAATTCCTAGGTATAGTATATACCTGAAAGAATTGAAGACAGGCATTCAAACACACACACAAATGTTCACAGCAGCAGCATTATTCACAATAACCCAGAGGTGGAAACAGCCCAAATGTCTATCAGCTAATGAATGGATAAACAAAATGTGGTCTATCCACACAATGGAATATTATTTAGCCATGAAAAGGAATGCAGTTCTGACAACATGGATGAACCTTGACAATATTATGCTGAGTGAAAGAAGCCAGACACAAAAGGCCGCATGTTGTAAGATTCCATTGATGTGAAATGTCCAGAGTAGGGAAATCCGTGGAGACAAAGCAGCATGGTGGTTGCCAGGGGCTGGAGGAGGGGGATGAGGCAGGACTGCTCAGTGGATAGAGGCTTCCTTTTGGGGTGATGAAAGTGCTCTGGAATTAGATAGAGTGATGGCTGCACGGCATTGTTAACACACTAAATGCCACTGAATTGTACACTTTAAAATGGTTAATGGTTAATTTTATGTTATGTGAATTTTACCTCAATAAAAAAAGAGAAACAAAAACACATTGATTGGCTGATTTTCAGTGATAGTCCATTGCTTCAGGTTTTTATGATAGCTTTAACGCCTTATAAATGGAGAATTCAGATTTGCATTAACTACCATTTAAAGTCACAATCGTTTCATCTTTTCTTGTGGTATTCCATTGTGGAATACTACTCTGCCACAAGAAAAGATGAAATCCTGCCATTTGGGACAACATGGATGGATCTTGAGATTATTATACTAAGTGAAATAAGTCAGAAAGAAAAAGTCAAGAACCATATGACTTTACTCCTATATAGGATATAAAACTGAAAGCAACAAAGGAATAAGACAAACAAACAAAGAAACAAAAACTCATAGACACAGACAACAGTTTAGTGGTTGCCAGAGGGTAAGGGGGGAGGAGGGTGGTAAATGAGGGTAAACGGGGTCAAATATGTGGTGATGGAAGGAGAACTGATTCTGGGTGGTGAGCACACAATGTGATATATAGATGATGTATTATAGAAACGCACACTTGAAACCTATGTGATTTTACTATTCCCCCCCGATAAATTTAATTAAAAAAAAAATCAGGAACCAAAAAAAAAAAAAAGAGTCGCTAAGTTAAACCAAGTGTTAATCCAAGACCCATCATTAAACCCTAAAAAGAAAAACGCAAAATACTCACAAGAAGCACAAAGAGGAAGTTATGCCTGCTGTTATAAAAAAATTAAAAAAAAAATTACAATCATCTGTGGCATTTTTTTATGTATTTGCTTTTTTCTCTGAATGGTTTTAGATGTTCCTGGAGGAAGCAGGTTCTCTTACTTGTAGAAATTGCAAAGCTCTGACCCTGTTTAGAAGCATTTTTTTTATTTTGTTGTTATGCAGTTCTTTTGGAAACCAGGTCTTTTTTTAGTAGTGATGATTTTTTTTTTTTTGTACTTACCAGCATGAAGAGGGAGATATCCTCATTCACAGTGCCCCACTTTTAACAGAAAAAGTGAGTATTCCTGTTGCTTTCTTACACATCTGATTTTGTGGAAAATGTATATGTGTAAGCTTAGTCACTTTGGACTACTCTTTGTATCAAGCCATTGGGAAATAATTTGAAAATTTTAGTTGGGTCCTTTATCATATTGAATTTGTCAATTGGAAATAATGGAAGTACTGTTAAAAATGAAATGTCATGGAAAAGAAAGTTTACCACCATGAGAAAATACCTAAAAAAGTGATGGCATGTGACAAAGAAGGAAAGGTAACTTGGAGTGAGGTAACTAGTTGAACATGAGTGGAACCTTTTGAAGCTGCTTGGTTTTCAGAGTACCTTGTAATAAAAAATGATGCTGGGTGTTGAGATGTTTAAGGGCCAATAGCAAGGTAGTGAGCCAGGTGTTGGAGGAAGCATTTTATCTTGCCTGCTCACTTCAAGCAATTGCATCTGAGGAGGGACTCGAGGCCTGTCTCCTGCAGCATTTTCTGCATTTGATACCCAGGTAATCTGTTCTCAGTGAGAACCTTATGATTTTTCTGCTTCCTATCTTCACTCTTGTTATGACTTACAGAAATTTATTATTATTTTTTTTTTAGATTTTTAAAATTTTTTATTGGGGAATTGGGGGATGGGAACAGACAAGTTGCTGTCCTTTTGTTCTTCAGTCTAGTTGTGGAGGATGTGGCTTCACTGGCCCAAGTTGGCACCATCATTGTGCTCTTCCCGGGCGAGGCAGATCAGTCGCCGGCTTCTGGACGGCTGCTCACTGCGGCTGCTGGCTACACACGGTAGCCCATGACAACCCACTGCAGCAGGGGCTGCAGCCTACGCTGTCGCCTGCGACTCATGGCAGCCCAGCTCCAGGTTGAGCTGTTGTTCAGCATCTTAGCTGTAGAGGGCAGTGTCACTGGCCCTCAGATGTGGGATCCCAACCAGGGCCCTCTGGCGTCCCAAGCCAGCTCTTAACCAACATGCCACTCGGCCGGCCCAAGAAATTTTTTTAAGAGGGCATTCCAAAAGGAAAGAAAAAGATGAGACAGATGGACACAGGGAAGAGTATCCTCCGCCAGCTCTGTTTTTCATAAATCAAAGTATCAACAAATAAATACAGTCATCTCTAGTTATTTGTGGCACTTCCGTCCCCTAAAGTCTCTGCAGACCTGAATTAGCGCATACTGAATCATTGCTTCTAGGAGAAATATAGGAATGGGTTCCTGCCAGCCTGTGGCCACAGCATTTTCAACTGACAGACACACAACCTTGTTTGGGGTATGTTTCTATTAAAGGCACCACTTAATATATAACGTTGGTTCATTAACATTGGATTCTCAGCCAAGAGCACTAGAGCTTATGCCCGAATGACACTCACCTAACACAGGAACAGGCACGCCTCCTATTGTTGTGCTTAGCTTTACAGATGGATTTTCGCAAGCTGAAGGCAGGACCCTCCACCAGCAAAAACACTGACTCGCTGTATCGCAGTGGCCTGGAATAAGCCCCCAGTATCTCCGAGGTCTGCCTATGTGCTCTCTGAAAGGCACATCACAACCTTTCGGTGCTTGGGAATCCTAGACAGCATATCAGTACCGTGTTTGGGGGCCCATTTAAACACCAAAATCACCAACAAAAAGCATCAAAAAAAAAAAGAAAAAAAGAAAGCGAACAACATGGCGCAAAACAGACCACGGAAAGGGCATTTGTTTTTCGTTTGGGAGCTAAAACAAGAAGGCAGAGTGTTGCCTCATTTGACCTCAGCTGGGAAGGTCAACATTTTCACCACTCTAGCACACACACCTTTGTAAATGAAAGTGCCCTGAGGATTGATTTGGGATTACAGGTAAAGTTTAGTGAGTATGTAAACTCGCAAATACGGAATCCACGAGTAATGAGATTGACTGCAGTTTGAAATAATAAAAATGCCTCGTATTGAAATAATGCTGCCCTTAGAAAGAACTTGAGGACCTTGCTTGACCAATTGTTATTTTATGGACCCTTTTGTATTCAGGTCAGAAGAGGTAAACCCTGGCAGACTTACCGCATCGTCTGACAGCCTGCTGAGGCTTATTCATTCATGCCTTTGCTAACTTTCGCTCACTGCTCTGGGTTCTTTCTATACTTCATCTCTAGGACATTGTCTAAGAGAGATGGCCTAGTGCCGATTTTGTGTGGCACAGCTTTAATAAGGAGTCGGCTGAGGGACATTTCTGTGTATGGTACTTAATTTCTAATAATGAGAAAATAATGTGCGACCACAAGGAAACTGGCTGGGAGAATCATATTATGGTAGCTTACAGCCATAGCAAGCCTCTGCTCATGACGGGCACTAGTTTCTTTATCGGCCTCTGAGAAGTTGAGCTGATATAAACAGTGAGCATGCTTTCCTTTGCTTTCAGCAAGCAGTGTAATGAACATAGGACACAACCCTCCCCCTACCCTTAGCAAACCTTTTTTTTTATTAACTTTATCTTTTTTCTACTATATGTCAGGGTAATACTATAAAATGCCGTGTGTCAGTCAGTGCTTTGTTTTGTATTTATTACCAATGGTAACTCGTAATCTGTTTTTTGAAATGCCAGACGTTCAACAAGCACGTGGGAAAGTTTAGCCAGTCCATCTTCCATTTGAATTTAACCCAAATTCTCTCCGCAACGATGGAAGGGAAGCTGGTCGTCTGGGACATCGACCGCCCGCCACCACTCGTAGACGGCCCACCAGCCATCGCTCCCACCTCTTCGGGCCTTCCCTGCATCAAACCCTGTAAACTGGTTCATTTGCAGAAAGAGAGCATCACTGTGCTTACTACAGTTGATAGGTAATCAACTTAATTAAAAAGTAGCTATAGATGGTTATAAAAATATTTTAAAGCCCTCTGAGTGTACACCTGTATTTTGTATATGCATAGACTATTTCCAGGGAAATTAGCAGGGAACGTTGGCTGCCTCTGAGGAAAAGAACTGAACTAGGATTAAGGATGGGGGTGGATTTACTTCTTTTTATAGTCTCATTTGTGCTAATTGGTTTGCTTTTTTTTTTTTTTTAATCATAGACCTCTATTACTTTTTAAAAATCCTTTTGTGTTTGTGAAACAAAGAGTAACTAAATTTTTTATTCTGCACTAAATACTTATTTTGCACCCTAAATTTTACAGACTTTAAACATGTGACTGGCTATATTGCTTTTTTCCAATTACAAAATAGCATTCACTCGTTAATTATGAAAAGGTGAAATATGACAGAACTTTATAAAGTTCACTAACATTATGATTTTGAGAGGCTGCGGGGCTTGGAGATGATCATTCAAAGCCTTAGCCTCAGATAGAAAGGGGTTCACATTCCAGATGCATCCCTTTCTTTTTAAAAAATTTTATTGGGGAACAGCTATGGTCCTTGGTTACACATTGCTTTCATGCTACAATGGAATAGTTGACTCTTAGGGAGGGTGCAGCTCACAGCGGCCCACGCGGGGATCCAACCGGCAACCTTGGTATTATCAGCACCATGCTCTAACCAGCTGAGCTAACTGGTCCTCCCGATGCATCCCTTTCTTGCTGAGCGACCTTGGGCAAGGAACTGAACTTTGCTGAGCCTTCATTTTTCTCTCTGTAAAATGGGTATGGCAATAGTATCCACCTCAGAGAGGTTTTATGAGGATTTGGCAAGACATGTAAAATTCTTAGCACACCGCCTGGCACAGGGAAGCCCCAGGTGGAATAGTCATCATTAGTGTGGTAGAGAAGCTCCCCAAATGGATGGAGAAAGTCCCCTAAAGACCAGGACCCTCCCCGCCCATATGGTTGGAGTCCCTGTGCCACCTACTTTCCAAAAGCCCATCTGCTTTTCTTGTCCTTTCTTTGAGGACAGGGAACAGTGACGTCCTGGCATGGGTTTACAAAGAGAAACACAAATGGTCATCCTTACTCAGTGGTGCAAAAAGACGGGAGTAGAATTGCAATTGATGCCATCAACTGTGGATGAGTTGGGGGTTGGGACCCAGCAAAGATCAGGCTTCTCTTCATGTTAAATGAAACCCACCCAGGACCAGGGAACCCGTGAAGGGCAAGGTCTCTGAAAACACTTGTCCTGTTTTGTCGTTTCTGTCCAGCAGAGGGCAGTGAAAGATGTTTTAGCCAATTATTCTGCCCGCCTGCCTTGCTTATTAATCAGAAACCTCATTTAATCACTTTGCATATGTAAGAGGAAATCCATCCCCCTGTTTCCCCCACGATTAGAATTATGTCAGAGGCTTAAAAAAAGCGAGCCCATTTGGGATGGATCTGAGGACTGGAAAGAAAAGCCATTTTGTCACGCGGCACTGCCTTTGACTGTGATGACTGGACAGGGTTTTACGACCCCTCTAACAGCAGCGCCTTCCTGTAAAGTGGATTGTATCCCATTGGCAGCTTGTGTGACTTCGGAGGGCTGGTAGATGGTCTCTGTTATCATCCGTAGTCTTATGGCAGAGAGTGTAAATCACTGCCCACCGCCATTGTACACGGCTGATGGCGGAGGGCAGGGAAGGATGGAGCTGAGAGCGCTGACTGTGCATGAGATACGCCTGGATCCCTGCAGAGTCTAGCCACGTGACCCTGGTAGGGTCGCCAGGCACAACTATGTCCCAATGCAATGTTTGGGACATACTTATACTAAAAGGTTACACATTGTTTATCTGAAATTCAAATTTAACTGGGCATCCTGCATTTCTATTTGCTAAATTTGGCAACCTCAGGCCTTGAGCAGATTTCTTCACTTCTTGGAGCCTTAGTCTCTGAGATATAAAGGGGATAACAGTAAAACCAGGCTCACAGGGCAGTATTAAGTAAAGTTTTTACCACACCCGGAATCCAGAGCCTCACATATAATTTGGTGTTTAGTAGATGGTGCTTATTACTATTATTTAACAAACCGGTGTTATTTTCCATTTCAGCTGTATTGTCACAGGTGATGCTAAGGGTCACATTAAGTTCTATGATCACACCCTGTCCATTGTCCACTGGTACAGCCACTTCGAACTCAGCTCCATCAAATCTCTGTCCTTTTCAAAGACCCCAGCCACCCCTCCAACTGAAAAATCAAACTACCCTCCAGACTGCACTTTAAAAGGTGACCCTTTCGTGATAAGGTAAGTTGTTAAGGATTGGTAAAAAAATGACTGATGTCTTCTTTTAATTTGCATGCAGGGGAACATTCACCTTGTTCCTGGGGTGTGAAATAGAGGGAACGGCCTTCCTAGTCAGTCCTTTACCTGGCTTGCAGACGGACCTCCTTGGCTGATTATAATCACTAAGCACTTTTTTTTAAAAGATATTATTAGGGAATTGGGGGAGGGAACAGCGTTGGAGAATGGGGAAAGGGGAACAGACAAGTTGCTGTCCTTTGTTCTTCAGTCTAGTTGCTTCACTGGCCCATTGTGATCATTGCGTGCGCTCTTCCTGGCTGAAGCAGTCGCTCGTCGACCATTGGACGGCTGCTCACTGTAGCTCACGGCAGCCCACTGCAGCCTATGCCATTGCCGGTGACTTGTGACAGCCCAGCTCCAGGTCGAGCCGTTGTTCACCATCTTAGCTGTAGAGGGCGCAGCGTCACTGGCCCTCATGTGGGATCTGAACCGGGGACCTGATTCTCAGAGCTGGCACTCCCAAGCCAACGCTTAACCAATGCGCCACTTGGCTGGTCCCTAGGCATTTTTTTTAATGAAACATTATTTTTACATTAAGAATCCTGAGTGACTGGAAGCTGGAAAGGGCTTATCCTTAATCTCTGCTCCGGCTGGTGCCCTTCGCTGTAGGTTGGTCTCTATTCTTGAAGCTGAGTTTGTCCTAGCTGTGCGGTTAAAGGCGTTTGATAATTAATAGCCATAACATTTCAAGACTGAATTATCTGTGTGTCTGCTTAATTACCCTTGCAGTATTTGCAGGCGAGCTTGTATGTGTGCACCAAACTCCATATTTGCATACGCAAATGAATATTTGCATGTGCAGATTAGCTAATTGTACAACTGACTGTCCATATGCATACTTAATGACTCAATTTACATGTAGAAATGTGGGCTTTTTCACTTGCAAATGGAGGCTGTTTGGTATTGGTGGTATATTTTTGGAGATGTTGGGTTAATAATGTCACTAAATTACAGACAACAGAGGCGGTTCATGTGCAATTAGAAGCAGAATAGCTGGCCTGCCCCATTCCCTGCAAACACTGATACTGTTTGGTCTCTCCTTGGCACACAGGAATTTTATCATTGGAACATCTGATGCAACAGTGTACCACTTAACGGCCGATGGGACCAAACTTGAGAAGTTACTTGTAGAGCCCCAGGATGCTATATGTGCCATCTCCTGCCACCCGTATCAACCCCTCATTGCCATTGGGAGTTTCTGTGGGATGATCAAAGTGTGGGATTACGAAAGGAAAAAATACCTTTTCAGCAGGATCTTTGAGAAGGGGTTTGGCGTGCAGAGTCTGACCTACAACCCGGAAGGTATTTTCCTTTTATCAGCCTCTCTTGGGTTCCAAATGGAAACAGACCCACAATGGCTGCAGCTTTGGCTGCCGCAGCTCCAGGAGGCTTACCTTGACTCCACTCCCTCGACCAGGCTAGAGGAGACACCTTCTCCCTCTGGACCCTGGAGCCCTCTGAGCTTACTTAGTACCGTCTGAATGCTCATCCCAGGGTGTCAGGGGTTTCAGCCTTTTTCTCCTTCTGGGGACCTCGTTGGTCACTGTCTCCTTAGCTCCTAGCAAAAGGCTGGGCTTGGAGCCGATGTCTCTCGGACGAGGGAAGCCTTTTCCATCAGTGTTCTCTGCTTGTGACTTCAGGAGCCCTTCTTGGAGCCGGCTTCACAGAGGGGACAGTTTACATTCTTGATGCAATGTCCTTAGAAAACGAAACCCCAGAGCCTTTCAAATATTCCAGATCCAACGTCACTCATATAAGCTTCTCCCACGACTCGCAGTATATGGCAACCGCTGTAAGTGTTTTCACGGAGCGCTATCTGGTGGCTGAGTAACTCTATTTAAAACCAAAATAGAGAGGGGCTGGGCAGCGGGGCATGGAATGGGCAGTGACTGCTCAAGGGCGGAGGGTTTCTTTTGGGGGTGCTGAAGATGCTTTGATGTCATGATGATGGATGTACAGCTGTGTGAATATACAAAAACCCATTGAGCTGGACACTTTAAATGAATGGTGTTGTATGTGAATTATATCTCCATAAAGATGTTATTAAAAAAAGAAAGAAAGGGGTTGGGGGGAGGCCTTTTGCCTGAAAACAAGACGAGGGCCTCAGAACTTGCAAACTTGGACTCTGCCGCCCTGACAGCTCATTTTGTTTTGTTCGCTTTTTGGAACCCTTTCTCTGCATGCATGCTTTCATCTTCCCCTTTGGTTTTTGACAAGACGACATCCCCATTTATTTCAAAGCGAAGTCTTCCACGGGTATGGTGGACACTGTTCTTTCCTTCTACGTGAATAGGGTTCTTAATCTCAGTAAGTTTTCCTCAGACCTCTCACCTCTCCCTTCCTGCCAGTTCTCTTGGTCTGTAACGTTCCAGTCTTGCCTTGATGTTGGAGAGAAGAAAGAAAGCAGCCTTCCTCACACTTAATTAAAGCGTTGTTCCTTCTAACACTTTCCCCTCGCTCCCCGCTCCCTCCCGTGGCTGGGCCTCTCTCCTCTCTTCCGGTCTGTGCACGCTGCCCTTGTAAAGGCCCAAAGCCTCCCTCACCCTTCCCATCAGCGCACTGACTTAGTCCCTTCAGGATGGCTCAGTGTCCCTTGAGGCTGGTTGTGGCCACTCTCTGACCGTTTCGCTCTCAGCCATCGTACTTTTATTTTTGAAAAAATAACCATACCTTTTTATTTTGTGTAGCTGGATAAAGAGAAGGGAGGACATAGGCAAAAAGTCAGGGCTTCCACAGAGAATGAGGTGGGGGCTAGAAAGGAGATTGAGACGATAGTATCAGAGAAATACTGTCTCACCCTACCCACTACCTTTGTGAGTTATCTACTTTGAACCTTCATTTTCTCATCTGTAAAACGGGCGTTATTTTAATATGTGCTTCAATAGACTAAGATGTCTTTTTGGATAAAATACTCTAAAAGGAAAATTAGTATAAAAATCATAATGATGATTTTTAAGTTACAGAGTTTCAAAAGAAATCACTTCTGCTCTTTTGCTTGTATTCAGGATGTGAATTTTACTGTGGCCGTTTACAGGGTCAGGGTCAAAAGTGGACAAAGGGTCTGGGAATATTTGGCAAGACTCCGTTCTCATCGCAAAAGCATTCGAAGCCTCCTGTTTGGGGTTCATCTGGAGAGCAGTGAGCCCAGGCTGCTGAGCCTCGGAAGAGACAGACTCTTGGTGAGCTGGTTGGTTTCCGTCTATCTGGTCAGCAGGATGCATTTATCTCATTCTTGTTCCGTCCCTGGCGTCTGGCATGGAACCGGGCCCGCAGTATGTGTGTGTTTGTTAGAGAAAATGAATGTACAATGAAGTAGCGTAGTAAACCCCTCCGAGCTATCACTTGGCCTTAACACGGCCCTGACACCACATAGGGCCCCATGTCCGAGTGAGGAGGCTTCTGCGAAATAGCACGGCAGGCGCCAGGGAGATGGTGTCCCCACAGCATGGAAAACCCAGCCACCCTCACCTCTTCCATGCACATTGGGAGAGCCGACATTCACTGACACTTTCTTTGGTTCCGGGGTTGGGGTCAGGCTGTTTCCTAAAGGTGACAACTAAGGGAAGATGTGAGATAAGAGGGGAAGTTAGGGACAGTGGCAAATACGATGTTACGTGATCAAACCAAAAGGATTAAAAATCAATCTATGTGTCTATCCATCCAACTTCCTTCCCTCCTTTATTCTCCCTACCCACCCATCCACCACCCACCCATCCACCCATTTACCACCCACCCATCCACCACCACCCATCCACCCATCCACCAATCCACCACCCACCCATCCACCCATCCACCACCCACCCATACACCCATCCTTCCATCCATCCATCCATCCTTCCATCCTGGTCTGGCCACCAGAACCTACCTATGGGTGAAATTCAGCAGGCTGCTGATATATGACAGTCAGGAGCTGACATCTCGATAGGAATCAGTTCCTACCCTTGAAGAGGTCCCAAGATATTGGGAAGTGAAACAGTATAATAGAACTGTGAAAGATCAGGTTTTAGAGTCAGTTGGACTGAAATTTGAATCCTCACCCTACAACTTCTTAGCTGTGTGACCTTGGGCAAGCCACTGAACCTCTCTGAACATCTGTTTTCTCATCATTAAAACAGGCACAGCAGTGTTACTTTGCAGGGGAGTCATGAGTATTAAACGGCATGATGTGTTTAGAGCGCTTAGCGCCTCATCTTGCTCATAACGAACACTCCGTCATGGTGGCCTCTTGGATTAAGTGTCTAGGCCAGTCTTCTTTTAGGGGGCCTGATGCTGTCTCCCCGGAATAGGACTGTTGGCTGATTTCATTAGGCTCCATCTTCATGCGTGTCTCTCCGGGCTTCTCTGCAGATTGAGTATAATCTTCTCAGAAGCAACAGAGACCACCTGGAAGTCCTGGACATTCACCGGACCGACCAGGACAGCCACCCCACCTGTATGATTTGGTACCCCCCGCTTGTCAAGGAACGCTTCCTGCTCATTTCCAACAGCGGCTACAAAGTGAAACTTTTCAATTCGACCACAAAAATGTGCAGGTAAGCGCCGGGAGCTTCCCACTAACAGGGTACACAAATCAATTTCTCAGCCCCCCGCCTATTTCAAGCCCTAGTGTAAGGGCCTGTGAAGCAACTTGGCTACCATTGCTATCATTCATGTTGCAGAGGAGGAAACTGAGGCACAGATAAGTTAAAACGTTCTCACCCAAGGTCATGTGGCTAGGAAGGGCCAGAGGCAGGATTCAAACCCAGAGCCCTTGCTTCGGAGCCCATGGCTGCACAGGGATAAGGTGCCCCGAGTTCAATGCCTGAGACTCAGTGAAGGAACCGGAAGAGTCGCCGATGCTTTATATGATCTCCTACTCTTTCCTCATGCGTAAAAAAAGACACTTTCACTCAAATATTACCAATTGTTTCATTTTTCTTACTCTTGGTTCTTAAAGGAATTTTTAAGTTCCCGGATTGCCTCCCTTTGTTCACACAGTATTTCTGGAGCCCTGACATGAGCCAGGTGCTGGAGGTGGTCAGGAAAATGAAACCCTGTTTCTGGAACCCTGGAGTTTGCATTTTAATGGTGGAGTGGTGGGGTTCTTGGGAGAGGCTGGGTTGGAGATCCACACTGAGGGTAAGAGCATATGAGCCAAGAGAAGATTCCAGAAGGGACGGGTAGGTCGAGAAGAGGCCAAAGGACTGAGCCCAGGGCATCCAAAGCTTGGCGTCCTAGAGCATCAGCTCCTCCATCCTGAAATCGGTCCGTATTTATAGTTGGCTTCTCGTGCTGCCAGGCCTGCGGGTCTCAGGATTGGCGCCTCCTGACGGACACCGACTGTCATACACCATCCCTGTGCCGGGCTCTGCGCTCATCATCCCATTTCATCCCCAACGGCCTTGCAAAGTGTTACCCCACTGGGGTTTACAGAGGCCAAATAGCTGGGTAGCACAGGGCAGGGCTTGACCTCTGAACCTAGCTCTGACTCTGTGTCTCCTCCTGGGCCCTGAGGCAGCCCTGGCTTTGGGTCCTATGTAGTTGGCCCTCGGAGGGCGGCCTCTTTCCACCTGTGGGTTTGGCTACCTCATGGGTATGTCTGGCAAGGGCAGAGGCACTGAGGCAGGAGGGACAGAAGTGAGAATGCTTTAGTGACCTCCACCTCCCCCCAGCCCCTGGAGAAGGGAATTAGAAAACTGGCCAACAGCGGCTGGCCCCATGCTTGGGAAGGTTATTTTCTTTTAAAATGTATTTCAGTAAGATAGGTCCTCAAAAGGCCAGGATCAACCAGGATCTTTAATTTTATTTATTGTTTTGTAAGTTCTTTCTAGAAGGGCACAAGGATAAATGACTGAGAAATGCCGTGTCGTGTGGCAGGAACAGGAGAGACGTATAGCACAATTAAAAAAAAATAAAATAAAACTGTTAGAACACTGGGAAGGAGACATTGCAAAGAAATGTGTAAAAAAGGAGTTTTAGGAAGATTTGGGGATCTTTGTCCATCACCTTTAATGGACACAAACTTTCTGGACAAAGAATATCTCAGAGATATGCCCAGTCCTGAGAAAACCTGTGTGTGCCGCGCAAGTGGCTTCAGATGGAGGACCCCAGGCTCGAAGTTCCTGCTAATATTGGGTTGTCGGAAAAGTCATGATGTATTTTTCTATGTTTTTCGTTGCAAAAATGCATCATGACTTTTCCGACACCCCAATAGTTACTCACCAGGGACTTGGAGCCACACAGTTAGGGGTTTCTGCCATTGAAGGTCAACCTGAAATTAGCGGAAAGCATCTTTCTGAAGAAATAATTTGTTGAGGTGAAATTCACAGAACATAAAACGTAACCATTTTTAAGTGTACAATTCAGTGGCATTTTGCACAGTCACCGTGCTGTGCAACCACCACCCCTGTCTAGTTTCAAAACATTTCCATCCCCTGCAAAGTAAAATGCCTTACAAAAAGCCTCTGGTAAGTTGCAGGAATACTAATGCCTCGTGACCACACCTTAGCCGGGGAAGGAATTGTCTTTTCATGATACACGCAGAACAGCTTAAGAATGCATTTAAAAATATTTAAAAGAACATGAAAAGGCAGTTCACCAAAAAAGGCCAATAAACCTATGAGCAGATGCTCACTAGTATATCAAAGATGCAAATGAAAGCAAGACATCATTTTCACAAATCAGATTAGCAAAGATAAAAATGATCGATAGCGCCTAGTGTTGGCGAGGCCATGCGGGAAGGGACCTTTCCCCAGCTGCTGCTGGCGGGAGGTGGAAATTGGGGAGAGCAATTTGTTATCCTCTATTAAATTTTATCGTATCTCTGACTTCTAGGAATGCAGCCCACAGAAGTACTCATACGGTATGCCAAGACATAAGTAAAAGAATGTCTTGCTTGAAAATATTTTTAAAAATGGAAACAATCCAAATGTCCATTAATAGGGAATTAATTAAATGACGGCTTGTCAGTGCACTGAAACACGACGCTGCTTTTAGAAAAGAAAAAAAAAGATGAGCGTGCTCTCTGCATAGAAACATGGAAATACCTCCAAGAGATAATCTGAGATAAAGCAAATTGCCAAATATGCATGAATGCATTTTCATATAAAATTATATTTATATAATTTTTCTATAAAATTATAATTACGTAGGTTAGACTATATATAAAAGAAATTCTCACGTCATCTACGCCAAGTTACTCCCCATGATTATTTTGGGCCAAGAGCATGGCAGTGGAGAGTTATGGCTGGGTTTTCTACTTTAAGTTTGTCGAAATGTCTGAGATTTTTCACAATGAATATGTAATACTTTTTCAATCAGAAGAAAGATATATTAATTTGTGAAATTGTTGGATATTTTTAACAACACAAGGCAATAGTTATATAGCTCCTGCTATGTGCCAGAAACTGTTCTTTATATACATTAACTTAAATGTTTTATATATATAACTTATTATATATAGTGCTTTATGCATATTAACTTATTTGATGCTCACCACAGTGTCATGGGGTGAATGCCTGTTTTACCAATGAGAGACCTGAGGTGCAGGTTGAATACCTGGACCTTTTTGGTTTGTTTATAATTTAAATTAAGATATAATTCACATACCATAAAATTTACCTTTTTTCCGATGGTGTTTACTGTATTGACAAAGGTGCGCCACTGTCACCGCTGTGTAATTCAGCCAGCTCTCACACTTTTTCTGTGTCCCAAGCACCTTCCATGGTGCCTGGCACACAGAGATGCTAAAAACAAAAAGCTGTTGAATGGATTTGCTCCTGATATATTCAGCATCTAGACATGGAGCAGCCGCTGTCCCCGTCAGACGGGGCCTGGGTAACACGGAGAACACAGCCCAACAATGAGGGGGCTCATAAAATAATAAGATGAAATGGCCACCGGCCTTCCACGGGCTGATCCAGGTATTGTGGGGTATGAAGCGTATTCAATTTTGTGGGTCCTCTTTTTTTTTTTTTCTTAAGATACATGATTAGGAATAAAAAATGGCTATGGCCCTTCCAGAGCATCAGAAGGTGCCTGTGCAAATAAGGGGTCCTGAAATTCCAATTTTGCTAGCTTCAGAGGAAATCTCGCTCTGGGTTTAAAGTAATGTCCGCTAACCTCACCTCAGATGCGATTCCTCATTAGTGTGGTGGTAGAGTCTGAATTAAGGATGTCTGCCCATTGTGGGGTTACGATTCATTACCAATTGACTCACAGGTCGTTTTTGGGGAACCTGTGTGTTGCACAGAGACCCCTATATGTCAGGTTTCTGGAGCGATGCACAGCATCTCACTCTCATCTCTCGGCCTGCCACTGGGGAAGGGGGCGTTTGCTTGCACCCTGCCAACGCGAGTCCCCTCCCCACCGCCTTTCTGTCGTCCCTCGTTCATGTACACATTCTCGAGGCATAATGTTCCCTTCACTCAGCTGTCAAGGCGGCAAGTCACAGCCTCCACCGCTAAAAGCACTCTTCACAATCAGTTTCCCTGGGAGCATTTGCTGTTGGGAGCCGTTGCCACTTATTTATGGCAGCTGTTAGCAGCGGTCGAGAGAGGTTCTTACGGATGGGCTTAGCTGAGTGACACGGCGGGGAAGTCAGAATTTAAAAACGCGTTATGGCGTCATGAAAAGGTAGCTAGCCGTCAAACCTACGTTCCGATTTGTGGAAATAAAAAAAGAAAGGTTTCTTTTTTTTTTTTTGTCCCACAGAAAGACTCTTCTGGGGCCGGTCTATGGTTCCCCCATTGAGCAGATACAAATCCTCCCAGTGAAAACGACCATTGAGCTGCAGAAACGCTACCTGGTGTTTATTAATACAGACAAGGTATTCCTCCCTGTTCCCCGCCTCTGTGAGATACTCTGTGCATTTTGAGCATGAGATCAAGCATCAAGGATGCTGGGTTTCATAGCCAAGCCCAACTGCTTCCGTCCCAGTTCACAGGGACGCTGAGAAGTGCCCTAGATGAGCGGGGATGACTCAGGAGGCATTTCTGAGCGGCCTCCTCCCATCTTTTTTGTACCCCCAATGAAGACACATGGTCCAGCAAAGGATTTTTTTCTTTCTGGTTTATTTACATGGACAAAATCTCATAAAGGCACACTGATTAATGACACTTAGTTGTACATTTTATGTTTTTTCAATACAGGACGCCAGACTTATTCTGGAAAGCCCTGGGCCTCTGCTATGAAAACAGGAGGAAATCTTCCCTCCTGTGGCTTTGCTAAAACCTGCTGTCCCTCTCCTAAGGGACCACCTTGCAGGGGTCAGTGCGTGCGAACCCTCAGCCACGTGAAACATGACTCCCAGTAAACAGATCTGCAGGGCACACGTGACCACAGTGCCAGGGCTCGCCTGGGGCCCAGCTATCTGAGCCTGAATATCCAATTACATATTCCTTTCTAGGTTGGACTTCAGATCTTACCAATTGATGGCAATCCCCATAAGACATCTGCTATTATATGCCACCCAAACGGGGTGGCTGGACTGGCCCTTTCCTATGACGGCCGCTATGCCTTCACAGCAGGAGGACTGGACCGATCGGTGTTACAGTGGGAAATCAACTTAAGGTACACAATGGGGCGAAAAGCTTGGCCCCGGGGGCGGGGAAGGTGTCAAAGGTAGGCCCCTTCTTTTCACTTGGCACCAACAGACAGGTATTATACCCCGACCGTGTGCCAGGCAGTGTGCCCGGCCTGCGGGGACAGAGATGACCAAGGCTCAAGCTTTGCTTACAGGTCGCTCCCTGTGACATCTGTTCATATTCACGTGGAGACAGAAGGTTGCTGTTCTGTCCCAGGGACCGATGGCATTTGCGGTCAAGACTGTGGGCTTCCGCCTTGTTCACCCATGGCCCCGGAAAGACTTCTCGCTCTGTTGTCTGCAGTGCCACACCAGCTAGACAGAGGGAGCCCGAATCTCCCAAGTGTGTGCCGCAGAAACAATAAGAGATTATTTGAAATACGTACCATATTTTGCCGTGTATAATGTGCACTTTTTTGCCCACATTTGTGAGGGGAAAATAAGGCTGCGCATTATGCATGGGTAGTACTAATTCTGTCTCTATATAAATGTTTTTAATCTTTTTATTTACGCTTATGAGTTAAAAGTGTAACTCTCGAAATCAATAACGATGTCCATATGCAAAATAGTACCCTGAATACGATAATCGGTTTTGTTAAACTTACAACGAACTTGCAATGATGAAGAGCTCTTGGCCTTCTATGAGGCGTAAATATCGTACATTTGTTACCAGTACATAAAATTTCTTGTACCATAATATGTTAAAAAACAAATGCTAAAATTCCCTTATAATACAAAAAAACAAGTACCTAAATGTAAACAAATAAAAAATTGAATTAAAAAGTTAAAACGAAAGATTTTTTTTCCCCTGAAAGTTTGGGCCAATAGCATGTGTGCACATTATACACAGGAGTGCATTCATTATACACGGCAAAATACGGTATTTTCGGTCTACTCTTCTCGTCCATAGGCCCTGAGCTGAGAATCTCCATCTAGGGCGAGGCTGGAGAATTTCATGGTTGAGCATAAGTATGTGATGTCGAGGTCAAACAGACATGGGTTTGAACCTGGAGCCCACTATCTGCTGGCTGGGGGACCCAGGGCAGGCTTCCTAATATCTCTGATCCTCAGATTCCTTGTCTGTGAAATGAGGATAACCACAGGGGCTTTTATAGAATCCCTGTAAGGACCAGATAGGATAATATATGTAAAGCACCCTGTGCAGAGCTGAGGACTCAGCAAATGAACGACCGCCTTTCTTCTCTTCTTCCTTATGAAGGCGTTTGCTCATGAGTGCAGGATCTTTCTCACTAAAAGAGGGTACAAACACTGTGGCGAGCCTCATATCTCCCCAAATTCAGTGACCACCGCAGGGCGGGCAGGTTCCTATCCTTGACCACCTCCTCCAGGCTCCTGCCCCTCAATGTGACCCCTGCCTGGCAGGTCCCATTAGGAGCCGGGTAAAGCAGCTAAAAGCAGCTTGGAGGCGTCTTCCTTCCTGAAAGAACAAAGCGATTGGTGGCTCCTAGTAAAAGTGCCCCATGCCCCCTGCCAAGGGCACATCTTTCCTTCGGACATGGAAGCGTGTCCTCTAAACCTGAATATGAGCAAAAGCCGCCAGGTAAATCCGCTTTAGAACCCGGTGGTTTCAGATTGTAGTTGCAGCTCTTGACCTTGACCTCTGACCTTCACCCTAAGAGAGCAGATCTTGGGAATTTGGGAATGGAGAAGCTGGATGTGTGCTCTCCCATTGGTGAGCTGCTAGATTCCTTGACCCCCTAGCCTGTTACCTGGGACGGTGGGGGCAAGCGACACCCTGGTGACAGAACAGGGTCTCCCCCTTTTTCATTTTTTGTCCTCTTCTCAATCATCCTGGGATCCTGAATGGTAGAGTTAAAAAAAAAAAAAAAGAAAGAAAGAAAGTCAGGCGCCCCTGTTCCAGTAGCTTTCCTGTGTCTGGCCAGAGTCCAGGCTTCTGAGAATTTCAATTTAATCTGTTGCGGGGACAAAGGATCATTATAAACTAATTAGCACTTCATTGCTGCTCCTGGTGTCTTAATATGTTCCGCGCTTCGCTAATGGGAAGAAACGTAAAAACCCTAAAGAAGTAAACAAACAAAAATCCCTGCTGGACCTGCCGATGGTGCGTTGCAGGGTGAAATAAAGACGAGAAGCCCTCTCACGTTCCAGGCATTTTAATCAGGGTGCTCCTGAGCCCACAGACTGTCATCATGCATAGCGAACCTTCCCCCTAGAGACCCCTTCCCTTCATCTTCCCCCAGAGTTCACTCCAACACACCCTCCCTTCTCCCCGTCTTTGCTAGCGTGCCGCCCGTTTTCTCTCCTTGTCTGGCATCTGTGTTTTAAAAAAGCCATTACTTCTTTATGCTCAACCTCACACCTACCTATAATCCTGCTACCCTGCTCAGACAAGAGCAGGAAGACCAGGATTCAAATCCCACCTTCCCTGCCTACTTGCCATGTGACCTTAGGCAAGTCCCTTAACGTCTCTGAGTCTCTGTTTCTCCACCTGTTAAGTGGGACTGTTACCACCAATTGCATTTGTTTTGAGGGGAACGATTATTACCATTACTATTACATGCCCTCCCCTTCTTCCCCCAGGGAGCATTTACTGAGCACTTACTATGTGCCAGCTATAGTGCTCTCTGCTTCTCGAGCTTTCGCTCATTTCCCAGAAGTACGGTATGTATTTCCAGGCACATAGTAGGTGTTCAATAAATGTACTTCCCTTTTGTGCCCCAGTGACCTCTTTTTTGTGTTGCAAAAAGGGGGATTTATGAGACGGCCGTAGGGACTTCAGGAGGCACGAGGACAGCGCACACTCAGGTGGCCTCCATGTCTACAGGACTGGATTTTGTCACTAGGTGGGAACATGGCTGCTGACAGTCCCCAAATTTCATAAAGTGCCACTCCCAGCAGAGAGAATGAGTCTCCTTCCCCAGCTCTGGTTAGATAAACCTCAGCCCCATCCCTCTGGCTTGCTCGGCTTAGCTGACGGTGGCCAGGAAGCAGGGGACAAAGTATAGTCCTGGCCACTGGAGGGCTGTTCCCAGAGAACCCAGAGCTCTTGTGAACCTGTCCCCTCGGACATTCCTGGTGGTGACAGGCTCCGCCATGTCACTTCTGGTGTTTACCTGGCCCTGCTCCAGAGCCACAAGGCTAAAAGGGGCCTCATTGCCCACAGAGTCCACCGGGCTTAGGCTTGGACAGAAGGGGCACTCTCTCCCGCTGGACAGCTGCCTGGATGGCTAACATCAGAGCCAAGAGCTGGGTGAAGACTGGGCTACCAGGACCCCCGGCCCAGCTGGAGAACACACCAGCTCCCCAGACCCTGCTGCAGCCCACTGGTGTAGAGCTTGTGCTGGGTCCCCAATAAACGGTAGCTTTGTGGCTGACTCTTTTAAGAGAGCTGTAGTGACAATCCCAAACTCCCCGTACTGAGCCCTCTCTGGCCAAGCCCTGAGCCGAATGCTGTCCATTACTGTCTGATGTCCTCACTGTCACCCCGTGAGGCAGGGACTGTCGGCATCCCCGTGGTTCAGATTGGAAACTAGCTGCGAGGGGTTAAGTGACCCTCCCAAGCAATGGAATCAATGGTGGCTGTGGGATTCATGCCCGCTCTTTGTGATTTAAGCCCACACCTCAGCAAACATTCATCACAGGAGAAAAATAAAGGGCCTCACATCCTCAGATCCTTTATTGCAGTCACTTATTTAATTGTCACAGCAATCCACAAGATAGACCTTGTAATGATTCCCATTTTATAGAAGACGAAACTGAGGCCCAGGGAGGTGACTTGCCTATGAGCACACTGCTTGCCAGTGGCCGAGCCAGGACTCACACACATGTCCCTTTGACTCCAGGTTCCAGGTAGCAAACCACTTGCCTGCTGTGGTCGACACTGAAGCGTGTTTTAATAACCCACAAAGAGGTGAACAGCCTGATTAGCAGAAATCCAGTTAGTGGATTATTATAATGATTTCATAGTATTAGCATTTTGTATGAGGCAAAGTCAGTCTCATACAAAAAGTAGGTTTTCTTACCATTAAAAGGCCTATTTTTGGAAAACCTGACCCCGTGTTAGAGAGCAGAGGGTTATTTTTATCTGACTGGCATGGGTCCCTTGTGGCCTCTGGAGTTTTTATGGAAGCAATTAGTTTTGGCAGTCCACCTGTGCTACCCCGTTCCTTTGGCTCTGGTCATGTGCAGGTCTAATGTTACAGGCAAAGCTACCCAGCGGGAGGCCTGTGGTTCCAGCACCCAGGAGCCCTGCCTCCCTCCCTATCTCCTTCTCTCCCTTCCGCCCTCCCTCCCTCAGGGGAACCGGTTCCCCAAAGACTGCAGACAAATTGCCAAGCGCCTTGCCCTGTCATCAGCGAGTGAATATCACCATCATTCCAGCGGTACCCTGTACCACCGGGGGCCGCACTCGAAATTCAATTTTCCATTTTCAGCTTCATCTTGGAGGGCATTTGCTTAACAAGTTTACAGACACCCAAATTGTCCGTGCGCTGGAATAGCCTTTGGAGGTCCGCAGCGCCGCGGCCTCCCGGCTGAGGCTGTTTCACACACGAGAGCTTTCTAACAGCCATATTTCTGTTCCTGTTCTAGCGCCCTGGAGGCAGCGGTTTCTCTCGGGGGCGAAGACTTGACCCCATTCTATGGTCTGGTGTCTGGTGGCAGGGAAGGAAAATTCTACAGGGTAATTGTCCTCCGAGTAAACACGCCTGGTAACTTCTAGTTTCTTTTGCAAAATCTACCTGGCGGGGTTAAAACCCTCTTGTTTTTCCCCAAAGCTCTTTTCCCCCCTCACTGAGCTCAGAATGTGCTTTCTAGAAAATGTCCTTGAAGTCTTAATGGATGCTTCAGACTCAAGCCAAAAATGCATGTGGTGTTTCCATTTTATTTCCACGTAGGAGCTGGAAGACTATTTTTACTATTCTCAGCTCCGTAGTCAAGGAATCGACACAATGGAGACCAGAAAAGTGTCAGAACACATTTGCCTGTCGGAACTCCCTTTTGTCATGAGAGCAATTGGCTTTTACCCATCGGAGGAGAAGGTAGGTAGCTCGAAAACAAGAACAGCAGTGGGACGCGTTATTTATGAAAACCACCTCTGGGAACACTAATTATAGGTCACAGTAAAAATGTTAACATTATTCTCGCATAAGTGGATCAGAAAGGAGGTTCTGGGCATAGCCGACGCACTCCTTAGAAACAGACTTCCCGTAAAGACATTCCTAAGAGACATGTTTCTTACCAAAGTTTGATGTGGGTAAGAGCATGAGCTTTGGAATTAGATGGACTGACATGTGTCCCCCGCAGGCGCACAGGAAGAGCTCAGGAAATGCTCCTTGTTGCGAGTATTTCCTGTATAGTTGCTGTTAAGAGGCCTGTGTGAATGGGGTGCCCCTGGGTGGTGGGCGCTTGTCCTGGGCTGTGGGCTCAGAGGAATGCTGCGTCTCCAGCTGCCAAGGGCCCCAAACGGGGACCAGCGGCACTCCAGGGAGAATGTCCCTCAGAGAAACTGGTTTAAAATGCAATTGATGGGGTGTTCTTTCTGACTTAAAATGTTAACACATTCTCATTGTAGAAAGTTGGGGAAAGACACCTAAGTGGAAAATAATTACTTATAATCCCATGACACAGATGCAACAGTTATTAGTATCTTCCTGGGTTTTTTTTGTATATATGTATATATAGATAATTTAAAAAACTGATTGGTACCATATTTGAATATATATATTTTATCCTATATTTTCACTTGATATTATATCAACAAACATTTTCCATTTCACTATCAATTCTCTGAAAACATGATTTTTAAAGGATATAATCTTTATAACCTTTTTTGATTTAGAATGTAGAACTATAAAGAATAGAAATTACTCAGAGTGATCACTGTTCACATTTTTTTTTCTTTCTATTGCTTGATATATGGATACAGATATACCTATATTTTTAAAAAAAGAATTGGCATTATATGGTACATATAGGTATATATCAGTACATATGACATGTATCAATATTTTACAGAGTTTATGTGTGTGTACATGTATATATGTGTGT